ATACACTAATTTTTCACTATACACTAGACATTGTGATTGATACAGCAAAGAGACTCTGCATTGTTATCTTGCTCAGGAAATTGTTGAGTTGTTCGAGAAGGCAGTTAAATTTGGAAGATCAACTCGATATTGCCAGATGCGTCGTTTGACACTTTTTAAGATGTGGTCTATTTCCATTTGGTACTTAGCCTTAGAAATAGCCCTAAGCCCTTAGAAGTGGTCTTTATTCCTACATATTCCTTTCCTGGGTTTCGACATAAAGTCTACAGTGTTTCTCAAGCCCCTCCAAATTTGAAGAATTTGAATTTCAATCTCTGTATTCTTGGTGCTGGGCAGCTGCTGAGATCTCTGCTCAGATCTTTCTGCCTTTCAGTTGCTGTTTCCCTCTGGGCTTCTTGGAGTCTCATGCTGTGCACACTTAATCAGCCAAGGATTTGAGGAAAGTTTGTATGCAGATTTAGGGGGCCCTTTCTTTGACTCCGTCCTGTCTGGGATTTCCTTCCTCAATTTCCAGCCACTCTTGTTTCTTCCCAAATATGACTGCTGACTCTTCCGCCTAATATTATAGTCACTATCTGCATGGACTCTACCTCCAATGTGCCCTAGGCATGGGGGATGCTCTTTGGGGGAAAGCCGTGATCCTACTCAGTGAACCAACTCCTTTCAAACAAGAGTTGAATCCCCCTACATTTTCTGTTCACTCTTCCTGGGCCTTCACTCCTTAAAAAACATTTTGTCCAAGGTTATGAAGTTATTAAGCTTTTGTCTGATACAAGCTAGTCTCGCATTGCCAGAAGCTAGAACTAATTTATTTTTCTCTGTTAACTTTCATACATGGTAGGTCATTTCCTCTTGATCGTGATTTTGTATCTGAATTTAGTTAGTGGGGACCTGAATTATGATTATTTTTTTCCCAAAAAGACCTGTGTTTTATTCTAATGGTTCTCAGTAAGTGGTGTATATCTAAGACTCACTTTATTTTCCTGATCTGCAGACATCATGAATGTGGTATTAAATCCCTGATCTACGTAAAAGCAGCCTGATTACAGAGGAGGCATCATAATCTCATTTAACTACCTGGAAAAGGGGCAGAGTTACTGAGATTACCCTTTGGTTTCCTTTACAAGAAAGCAGACTTCCTTACCCACCCTTCGTCTGTAGGTGTTAATAATAATATCCCAACTTTATGCAGGGATTTTCAGTTCAATTCCCTGACTTCGTTCAGGCGCAAGGCCTAAGTTCCCATTCCCCAAACTCTGGGCATTACATTTTGTTCTTATAAGAGAAAGGGCTTTCACATATAATAGTTACTACCGTGGTTCAAGTTTATGTTTATCATTTTTCAAATTTTTCCTGGCCTTTAGGGATTTTCCATATCTTCTTGTGAGCTCAGCATTCCACTTAAATGAATGTTGGTTGCAATTTATTCAGCCTTTGGGTATTTCGTAGCAGCGGAGGGCTTTTTAGAAAACCTTGATGCCAACAGGGTAAATACCTTCATTTTCCCTAGCACTTTACTGAGGTATAATTTATATATAGCAAAATGCATATATCCTAAGTATACAGCTCAATGAATGTTAAAATTACATAGACACATATGTATGCATATGTCACCACTATCTAAATCAAGATACAGAACATTTCCGTCACTCCCGAGTTCTCTCACATTCCTCTCCAGTTTCCACTCACCCCCAAAGGTCACCATCCCAGATTTGTTTTGTCCGTTCTTGAGCTTCATCTGAATGGAATATTCCAAGCTCTCCTTGTTCAACAATGTTTTTCAGATTTATCCCTATTATCAGTAATTCATTCTTTTATTAATAATTGCAGACTGGTATCCAATATATAAATATACCATTATTTGATTATCCATTAACTTGTTGATGGATATTTGGGTACTTTCCAGTTTGGGGGTACTATAAATAAAATGCCTATGAATATTCTTGTACAAATCTTACTGTGAAAATACACCCTTGTTTTTCTTGGGTGTATCTCCAGAAGGGGAATCACTGAGTCACAGGGTAGGCATATGCTTACCTCTGTAAGAAACTAGTAAGCTATTTCCTGAGGTGATTGTACCACCTTCCACTTGCTTCAGTTGCTCCGTGTTCTCACCATTCGGCAGGTATGCAGTGGTATTTCCTTTGGTTTCATTTTGCATTCCCTGATGACTGATGTTAATCCTATGCTAGCTGCATTTGGAATGGTTCTGTGAAGTGTGTATTCAAGACACTTACTTATTTTTATATTGGGTTGCTTTTACAATGGCTTTAAAAAGTTCTTTGCTTTTCTTTGTCAATGTATTGTGAATATTTTCTCCTAACCTGTGGCTTATCTTTTCACATTATCTTTCTGATGAGAAGTATCTCATTTTAATGAAATTTTTAAGTTTTTTGTTTAATGTATTTTGTACCCTTAGATATCTTCGTCTACCCCCATGTCATGAAGATAGTCTATATTTCCTTCTACAAGATTTGTTTTGTTCTTCACATTTAGGTTTGTAATCCATTTTGAACAAATTGTACATGCCATGAAGAAGGCATCAATGTTGTTCTTTTCCCATATAGATATCCAGTTTCTGCAGCTCCAGTTGAAAAAAACTTCCCTTTTCCTATTGATTTGCTTGGCGTTTTTGTTGAAAAGCCAGTGAGTATGTATATGGGGGTCTATTTCTGGATTTGTCTATCTATTGATGTATTTGTTTATCCTAACTCTAGTATCACACTCTATTATTGTAGCTTTAAAGCAAGTCTTGAAATTGGGTTAGTATAAGTCTTCCAATTTTATATTTCTTCTTCAAGATTATCTTGGATATTCTGGGTCTATTGCATTTCCATATATACTTGTCAATTTCTACAAGAAAGCCTTGTGGGTGGCTGGGCGCGGTGGTTCATGCCTGTAATCCTAGCACTCTGGGAGGCTGAGGTGGGAGGATTGCTTGAGCTGAGTTTGAGACCAGCTTGAGCAAGAGTGAGACCCCATTTCTAGTAAAAACAGTAAAAATTAGCCAGGTGTGGTGGTGCACACCTATAGTCCCAGCTACTCGGGAGGCTGAGGCAGGAGGATCGCTTGAGCCCAGGAGTTTGAGGTTGCTGTGAGCTAGGCTGACCATGGCACTCTAGCCTGGGTGAAAAATGAGACTCTGTCTTTAAAAAAAAAAAAAAAATGCAAGCAAGCCTTGTGGGATTTTGATTTCATTGAATCTATAGATAAATTTGTGGGAAACTCACATCTTAACATTTTGCAGTCTTTCAATCCATGAACACAGAGTATCTATTTATTGTAGTGTTCTATAATTTTCCTCAGCACTGTTTTGTAGTTTTCAGGGCAGAGGTCTTGCACATCTTTTAACTTTCTCCCTAGATATTTGATTTATTTGATGCTATTATAAATGGCATATATTAAAGTTTAACTTTGTGTTTGTTGCTAATGTATAGATAGGTACATAACTGAGTTTCATGTTATTTGCCTCATGTGCTGCAAAATTATTAGTTCTGGTAGATTTATCAAGAAAATGCTTGGTAATCTTCAGGAAACAGACAATGTAAGTAATGTCATATAATTGGAAACAGATCTGATTTTCCAAATGGCATAAAAAGTGACTTACAAAAGTGTCTTTGTATACAATGTCTCACAGTTACCAACTTAGAAACACTACTTTCTGAATTTCCTTCTCCTTTGAAGAACATGTAACTATGGAGTTAAATTTGCTCTTGGTAATACTTCATGGAAGATGAGGAGCGTACCAAATCCTCACAGAGAGGAGCTTCTGTTTTCAGCTAAAAGCAGAATGGGGTAATGAGAACGTGGCCTACACAGTGTCCTCCATCTGTGGAATGGTGAACATTCTCAATGTTCAGTGGCAGAACTACTTCTCATGAATGCCAATTAAGACAGAGAGATACATTAAAATGGACTGGGATTGGGTGGGGTGAATAGATTTGTGAGATTCAAATCATCCTTAATTGTCACATTTATGAATTCTTCACTGGTCAAATAATAGTCCCATCTTTTTATCCTTCGTTTTCTTTTTCATTCATTGTTTTCTTTCTAATTTGATTTACAACAGAATGATTAGCAACTCCCTAATCTATAAATAATTATGATGAAGAGGGATCCACTCTAACTTCAAATAAAACCAATGTAAGGCAAAACTATTCAGGAATATTTTGTATTTTCAAAGTATTCAGGAATTCTGTTATTAGAAAAATAAAGGCAATGGGATTATCTATTAGGTTCTAAAAGTACCCATAAATTAAATCACTTACATTCCCAACTTAAAAACAAAACCAAACCTTAAATCACATTGCTGTTAAGCTTTCTTATAGTAAGAAATAAGACCAAGCTATGCTGGAATACAAAAACCTCAGATTCTGAGCATGAAAATAATTTATTGATTAGACGTCTGGTTTATTCAAGCATTAGGCCTACTGATGATAGAATTAACACAGCTCATGGAATAGGAAAAAAATTCCATCCAGCACCTGCTTCATTTCAAAATCCTGGGGACATGGTTTATGGATTTTGTACTAGAGTCTCACCCTAAAGTGTCCCCATGTGCTTGATGTGGATGAACTTGAACATGATATGAGAAACTCTGTGTATACTCAACTTGGCAAGTATCATTAGTGATGTGACTTTCAGAAACATTCTTAGGCACAAGAAATAGCACTGCCTACCGTGAGGGTCTTTGATAATAATAATAATAAAAAAAGATTAAATATAATCTTATAAACAAGAAAGAAAATATATGCATTTTTGCCAATGGATTGTTTTATATATCAGGGAAAATGTCACAATGAGATTTTCTAACAGAGATTAAAAGATTAACTATTAATTGATAATCAACTTTTAATTGACACTCAGGTGGTTTTGTGGTACTAAAAATCAGAGAAAAACAAAACCAATTTAGCTTAAATGGAATTTAGGGAAGAAATGCAGGACTATTAATATGGAATAATAGCTGCACTTCTTTGGCTAAGTCATTAAAAAAATGCCAATTAAACATTTTCAGTCAAATTTTATTTAAAAAAAAGCAGCAGATCAACATTACAATTCAAGAATCTAATCTAAATATGCACTTGACAATGAAGCACATCTGAGTATGGAGTGAAAAGGTCTTCCAAAAAAACCATCAAATATATTATCTCCAAATACCCAAATAATAAATCACTTCTGCAGGCCTTTTGTTAAGTGGAATCATAAACAAAGAACTGAAGATTTATTGCTGTGAAAACAAATCTGTAGTACAGTAGTACGAATCTTGGGTATTAAGCATAATCAGTTGAATCAAGTTAAGAAGTTGGAAATCTGGTAAGAAATTTGTGTGTGTGCGTGTGTTTGACAAAGTCTGTAAGCCAGTTGACCCAAGAGCAACTGAGATATCTAACTTGTTCAGTTGAGACCAGACATTATGTTAAATCTCCATTTTTTTAGAAGGCAATTAAAAATTACAATTCCAACAGCCCATAAACCAAATAACCAAATAAAAGAAATTGGAGAAAGAAATTAAAACTATGTTCAAAGAGCCTTTTTTTCCAGCTCAATTTCAGCACCCCAAGGAAAATAAAAGCATCCATGACTATCACAGATGAAAATAAAATGAACGTCATTGGAATCAGTTATTTTTCCCCACTGAGGTATAAAATCTATATAGAAATTTGATACTATACTGTTATATAACAAATTGTACTTCTCATAGTTCTGTTTTAATTTTCTTTAAACCCTGTTTAATATAGTTTTTTTTATTGTTGTAAAAATGTTTTCATGATTCTGAATCTGGTTCCAGTTCTTTTCATTTATTTTTAAATCAATATTTAATATACTGGCTACCAGTTCTAATCAGGAAAAAAAATCTTGGAAATCTCTTCATTATGACAGCACATTCGGTAGAAATTACCGCTGTGCAAGCAAACCATAAAAGATGCAGCTCTCCGGAAAGCACGTTTTGTTGATTGTTTCATTGTCTAAATATTCTTTACCATGATTCTTGATGAAAGACTCTTTCAATCTTGTAAACATCAGTGTGCACAGTCTCACTACTACGCAGTTTCACGTCCGTGGACAGGAAGGCTGGTTCACAGCTAGTGAAAAGCTAGAGGAGTCTAAGTTTTAATGGCTGATAAACCTTACATCCTGCGGAGGAGGAAAACACTTTTCCTTTTTTGCTACGTAAGAATGTGGCAGAAATGTATGCTGAGGTAGCCCAGTCAATCCTTATTTTTTCTTTTTTTGTAAATTTGGTCTTAGAATATTTCTGGAAGGGTGACATTTCGAAGAAGCCACTGCTGGGACCGACTTCCATTGCAGTCTCTAATGCTGGGCACCTGGCTATCCTCTTCCGTGGCTTTATCCAGGCACTGATTACTGTTCACATGCTGCAGGGTTAATTTCTGAAAGTGACAGAAAAAAACACTTAACATGAAAGTGGAAAAAATTAAAACACCTCAATCATCATTTTTGGTGATTATTAAATTCCTCTATAGAAAAGGTGCCTTTGGGGGCAATATAAATTAAATAACAATGGAGAAAAGGTACATATTTAAAGATAGTATTAAGAGCTACGTGGAAGGGAGAAAAGCACTGGGGTACAGTGGGGTACACTGGATTTGTAGTAAGATGACCTAAATTCTAAGTCCTAATTCTGGCATAAGTTCTGTAACACTATGTGAAAGAGAAAAAAAAAGGGGCCAGATTAGTGGTTCCTAATTTAGGATCCTTAAGCTATTTTCAAACAGCTATTTCAAAATTGTTTCATTTCTCTGTGACAAGGCTGTTCAAGTTAATTCTGTGACGCCAAACCTCAAATTTTTAGAGACGCAGGTCTTTCTGAAGACTTAAAAGCGTAAGAATGTTGGGACAGCTGAGATTAGTTACAATCAATCTTAAGTCTCTGTCCATATCGAATCCAGAGACTAGCCCTGTGGTTGAGGAAGAAGAGCACAGGAATGTGGAGTTAGACAGACTGGGTTCACAGCCTGGGTATCTTGGGTTTTCTCATTTTTAAAATGAGGATCAGGCAGGCCGGCGGGCAGGCTCGGCGCGACCCTACCGTCCGGCCAGCGCTGGCGGCGGGGAGGCGGCGTGCACAGCCCGCCTTAAAATTTTTTTTAAAAGTTAAGAAAAAAAATAAAGGAAAAAAAAATGAGGATCACATTACATATGAGGGTCTAAGGACTTACCAGTATCCAGCCATGTAACCGTTCTCGTTATATTAACAATGGCTGGATACTTTCCAGGCAGCTCTTACATTCTGAGCACATTTTGTGAGGTAGAGATAATGAAGTTAAAGTACGAAGCATCTCACTTACAAAGGAGGTTCTTAATAAATGGCTGATAGTTACAGCTATATATCTTTCTATCTACTTATTTACATTCCAGATTTGATGCTGACATGTTGATTTTTAGGATAATTTCAAAAGGGCAGGATAGATAAGAGTCAAAGGACACACAGTTGTAACGATCCACACCAATGACTCTGATACAAACTCTGGTCTTCAAGGATTCATAGTTATATAGGAATCTGCATTAAGAGTTATCCTGTAAGTTTAAATAACTAGGAGGAAATGTGAAATGTTTAACACACATGTATCTGATTCTTTTACTCATGGCTCTACTTTAATGTAATTCTTTTATCTGGAGCATTTATTTCATTTTCCTGAGGCCTCTTGTGCACTATCTGAATTTAAAACAAAACAAAATACAATGATTATATACAACTATTTTGGCTTCCAGCCATTTATTATTTTTCCATGTTGTGGTCAAAGTGGTAACTGGCAAAGGGCAGTATACATTTGCAGATGTCACCAACAATACTGACTTTAGGTTCAGTATTATATACTTGAATGCTTGCAAATGCGTAAGAATGGAACCTGAAAGAGAGTCAGCATGGTTGTGGTTATTTTTATTTTTTGAAGTAGACCTTGTGTAATTTATTGGTTGAGAGTTTGGGCTTTGCAGTCAGACACTTCCTGGAGTGAATTCCAGATTAGTCATATACCAACTATGTGTCCCTCAGCAAAAACTTAACCTCTTTGAGATCTAGTTTCCTGATCTGTAAAAAGGGGATAAAAATACTTACCTCACTGAATTACTGTGAGGAAACGTGGAGAAAATGTACACAGAAGTGCTTATCTAGCCCAGAGTAAGTACCTTATAAATGGTACTTACGAATGGAAAACCCAACATCTTAGCAACATCCTGAGCAGCCATATACACAACCTAGCAGCCAGAGAGCTGAAGTTCAGCATGCGCACTGCTGCCAAGGCCTCGGTCTCAGGTACAACAAGAGCAACACAGAACAGAACCCCTCAAGCATTCCAGAAGTCCCTGCAAAGCTCCTCCCCGTAGGCATCCCTTATCAGGCCCATAGACAGTTTAACTAAAAACAAAAAACCACTAAACACAACAAAAAATTTAGTTGGAGAGTTGGGGAGTTGATCTCTCTCATCCTCCCACTTCGTTTTTGAGACAGGGTCTTGCTCTGAAATCCAGCTGGAGTGTTGTGGTGTCATCATAGCTCGCTGCAGCCTCCAACTCCTGGGCTCAAGTGATCCTCCTGCCTCAGCCTCCCAAGTAGCTCATGCTGGGCTAACTTTTCTATTTTTTGTAGAGACTGGGTCTCGCTCTTGTTCAGGCTGGTCTCAAACTCCTGGGCTAAAGCATTCTGCCCACCTCGGCCTCCCAAAGTGCTAGAATTACAGGCATGAGTTGCTGTGCCTGGCCTTCTCATCCCAATTTCTAAAGATGTGTATTTCACTTATCTAGATTCATTAAAATACAGCCATCACAGAGACATAGGTTATTGTTCCGTGCCAGGCATTAGACTGTTCAACATCAAGACAGAATCCCCATAATTCAGGAGGGGAACAGCCCCTCAGGAGACCTGGACTCTGGTGAAAGATCCTGTCCAAGACATAACTCTGCCTGCTGACAGCAAGTACAGAGTTCTGTGGCTCACAACACTGCGGGCTCTGTCTTCACAGCACTGAGCAGAGGACCAGGCAACACTGACGAGTCTCCACACAGAGAAAGATTAAGGCAACTGGACAAGCCACTGCTGGGACCAGCTTCCACTGTAGTCTCTAATGCTGGGCACAAATATTTAATTGTAACTTTTGAAGGGCTGGATAAAAGCTGTAATTAATCATTGCATAAAGCCCACCTGCAATCTAGAAAAAAATAATTTGCCCACCTGTTGCCCCCAATCTCTAAATGAGATTGGGTATAAATCTACGTTTTATTCCAGAAAAGACAGATATAAGTAGTCAAAGCAGAAGAGCTTGGTGTCATATTATCAATTTTATACAATATATAGTATAAACAAGACTTAAAGATACATGAACATACACATTTAATCAAAGATAGAATGGTACTGTGCAAAGAATCCTGGATCAAGAGTCAAGAATTCCAGGTTTGAGATCTAGTCACACCCTTCACCTGCTCTGTGACCTTGGGCAATTAACTTCCAATCTGAGCTTCAATTTCTACTTGTATAAAACAGTGTCCTGGATTTTATTTCTAGAGTTTCTCTGAAATCTAAGATTTGTTGGTTTTAGGTTTAAATTCTAGATTGTTGACATAAATATTTGTTATTTTTCCAGAATGTTATGTTTTCAGTGGATGGAGACAGGACAATTCTAATGGCCACTCCCCTGCAGAGCTCCCTATTCAGTCTACTCAGGACCTAATCACACTTGACTTCTCCGGTGCCAATTTTGCCTTCTCCTTCTCCTTTTCATAGGTATTGATCCAGCAGAGGTTCCCTAACAAATATCCTGAACGCTAAACTTTATCTTGGAGTCTGCTTCTGGGAGAAACCCGTCTGTGACATTAAAATTTTATCTCAGGGGGAAAAAACCTTGCAAAGTGATCCAGAAGTTTTAAGACCTCCAACTCATAACTGGTTCTTCCTAAATATTCCAAACTATCTCTAGCTTCTTACATGTCTTATCAAACCTTTTCTTTCGGAATACCTGTTACAGTCGACTGGGTAGGCTGGCTAACCCAACAGCCTTTCCCAATCCCTGTCTCTTGGCTACCTCATACTACAAAGACTAGAAAATCCAATGCTTGCTCTCCCAGCCTCCCTTGCAGCTAGGGGTCACTATGGGACATAAGACATAAGCAGAGCTTGCTAAAGGGGTTCCAGGAAAGGCTTTTGCTTTCCTGATAAAAGAGCAATACATATGGTTTTGTAACATTCCCCTCCTCTTTTCTTTCTGCCTTGAGTTGGGATGTGACAGTGCGAGCTGCAGCAACCATCTTGTGGCTACAAGAAAAAGCCAAGAATGTTACAGCACTGTTATCCCTGACATCACTATGCCACTGAATTTACTTACCTCCAGACTTAATGTAAGAAAAGTAAATCCCTACTTATTTTTATATTTATTTTAAGCTACAATCAACAGGTTTTTATATTGCCAAATGAATATACTGTCATTTTCCATGGAACTTAAAAGTGGGAAGCTTTTGCATTTTTAAAATTTTTTGGGTTGTCACAATGGCTGTAGGGTGCCACTGGCACTTATTATCTGCAGCCAGAGATGCTACATATCTTGCAAAGCAAGGGACGGTCACACACAAAATGGCAGTAGCATGCACCAGGGGAAACCCTGGAACAGAACATTCAGGCCATTTCCTGATCTATTAATATATTTAATGTAATTTTTACTATAGCTTGACACTGTGAAGACCATGGTCTCTGTCCTCTACCACCTAACAATCTAACACTAGAGAAAAGACTGATGGATAGCTATGAAGAAGCACGGCATTATAGGGATCAGAGATTATTGTTAGGATTGACAGAGCTAATTGTAGGCTGGGATTCATGGAAGTGATGTCAAAGCTGGGATCTTAAAAATGGGTAGAATTTATCAGGCAGAAGGAAGAGTATTATGTTAGATGTGAAACAGAAAAGTAAAGGGTATGTTCAGGGAATAGTAGATTCAAGTAGACCATGGTTTGTAAATGACACGGTATAGGGAGAAAAGATAGCCAAAGTCATAAATTTGGGCAACATCTCCATTTCAGAGGTAGAATAAAGAAGCAGAGAAAGCTAACAGAAGAATGTAACAGTAGTACACCTAAAGCCAAGCAATAAGAAAATTAGAAATACTAATATTATCTGCTTAGCAACAATAAATGCTATAGGCCAGGGGGCAGTGGCTCACACCTGTAATCCTAACTCTTTGGGAAGCTGAGGTGGGAGTATTTGCTTGAGGACAGGAGTTCGAGACCATCCTGAACAAGAGTGAGACTTCATCTCTACAAAAAGTAGAAAAATAGCCGGGCACAGTGGCACACACCTATAGTCCCAGCTACTTGGGAGGCTGAGGCAGTAGGATAGCTTGAGCCCAGGAGTCTGAAGTTGCAGTGAGCTATGATGGTGCCACTGCACTCCAGCCTGGGTGACAGAGTGAGACCCTGTCTCAAACAAAACAAAATAAACAACAAAAAAACCCAAACACCCAGTAAATGCTATAGAGAAGTTAAGGAAAAAGAGACTGGGACGCTCCTGGCTTTGCATTCAGGAGCTGTTTCTATACAGTGTCAGGCCAAGGCAAGAGTCAGGGATGGAGGACCAAGAGCCATGAGTGCTGGCCATTTACTCTACATTACAGAAAGTGGGAGAAAAGTAAGATGGTATGCAGAAAGTAAAGTAGGAACTAAAGTTCTTCCTAACATGAAGAAGAAAACTAGTTATGTTTGTAAGCTTAAGAAAAAAGAACCAGAGAAAGAGATTACTGAAGATGCTGGTCCCGATTGCAGAATCGCAGGGCAAAAAGCACAAGGTGAAAGATCAAGCAGATAGGAAGACAGGGAGAGAGGTTTACTGGGGATGCTTTGATTGATCTTTTAAATACCTCCATGTGAGCACAATTTATGGGGGGTAGGGAGAGGCTCCAGAGGAAAGCAAAGATAAATACAAAAACTTCTGTCATGTGTGTCACTGAAAAATCAACACAAGCTGGAGAGTTTTGTTAATTATAACTTACCTTTTACTTAAGTGTTTAATTCAGTAATTTAAAAAGCCTACTTACTGCTGTTTCTCCTAAGCTGGACTATAGAACTTGAGGACACAGAGAAGGAACAGTGGCTACCTTAGCAACAAGGACACAGGGACTGGAGGCAATATGAGTTTGTAAGACTAATAATTAGATTAAAACATCTTTAATTTACTTATTTTTCCTCATCTGTCAATTTCCAGTGTATAAGAACAGTTTGATCCATATTCAAACTACATAAGAATTCATTCCTTTAGTGATAAAGTATATAAATATACCTAATGACGCACATAATTTTATTCCTACATGCATCTGCATAACTCACCACTGGGTCATACTCCCAAAGCTGGTTGCCTTTTAGGTGGTGGCATTTGAGCATTGTGACTGGGCCATTAAGTTTGGAAACATCCAAGCAAAGGTCATCTGTTCTAATTTCTTTGTTGGCAGTATAAGAGAAAACCTGGAAAACAAAAATACACACATATAAGCTTAAATAGAAAAAAAAATTTAGCATTTTAGGAGCCTAATTATCTGGCAGGAAAAATACCAGTATTTCAAGATACGTGATTTTTGTACTTTATTAAAATAATGGAGAATAAAATGACTCAGAAAAACGACCACTAAGTTTATAGAGAGGAAAGTAAAAATGACCTTGAGTTCTCTATATACAATGAGTGTATTGTCAAGGGTTGTCATCTGTTTGACTAAAAAGGGCAAAATAAATTTCATGCTTAGCAATGTAAATACAGTTCTTACAAGGGGTCTTTTACAAATGTTTAATTAAAAAAGAAATCATTAGACTGAAGGCTTCCTTCACCTAAAGGTCTTTATTTCTTATTAAAAGTAGGAAAATATTTAATGAAAGACGTCATGGGATAAAAAGGGCAAAGTAAAAACAAATCTGAAAATTATCCCTTTTAAATGTTTACTTTTTTTTTTTGAATCCCCAGGGGTGGGGAAGGGCATCTCTAGATATATTTTTAATGTATTTCAGAATATTACTTGGTAAACATTTACGAAGATACTCACCTGATTTCCTCCCATGCCGTGACAATTAAAAATTCCAACTTTTTCATTCTCTTTTCTAGCCATGTTATCTAGACATTGATTTGTTTCCACATTTCGTATCTGTGGGACAACGAATGATGGAAATATTAGAAGTTAGAGAGGTTACCTAGACAGATACACACACACACACAGGTAAACTAAAAATCAACCTAAACTTTCCCTGGTACTACTCTGAAATAACCTCAAATTCCCCAGGTTGGGGACAAATGGTGGTACAAAAGGATATAAGACACAAAAAAGAGCACTGCCTAAACATTTTTGTCCACAAAATCCACTCCCTTCTCCCAATACCATATCTTTCTAATTGAGCACTTCAGGTTGCTATAATAACCTCAATTTTCTCATCGGTAAAACAGGGATAAAAATATCTCTCAGGTGTGTTAGATGCTCTAGATGACATAATACACACAGAGGCCCTAGCAGAGACTGGCATGCAGTAGGCACGCAGTAACTCGGTTTTCTTTCCTTATCAACAGACACAGAAACTCTTCACCACCCCCTTCTGGAGTAGCAACTTAGGTGTACCTTGCTACCACTTAAAAAATATTATTTTTGCTGTAATCCTAGCACTTGGGAGGCTGAGGCAGGAGGATCACTTGAGCCCAGGAGTTTGAGGTTGCAGTGAGCTACGATGAAGCCACTGTACTCTAGCCCAGGTGACAGAGCGAGACCTAGTCTCAAAAAAATATACATACACATGTTATTTTTGGCTCTAGGAGTTGAAAATAATTGTGAATGCACTCACTCCTGGGAAACCAGGCAAGAACTGAGAGCCAAAGATTCTTAGTTTCTACTATAGTCTCACCAGAGTCTCAGTACCTCCATTAGGGTGAACAAGTAAGAGCCCTGATAAAGCACTTTTGGAATCCACTATTAGGGAATCTGGATTCACTTATCCACACTCTCTGCCACAAGAGAAATACTGGTTAGATCTGAGAAAGAATATGGGTGTTACTGGCTAAAATCACAGGCTCTCAAGCCAGACTGCCTATGTTCAAATTCTGTGTCTTCCATTTTGTGGTTGTGACCTTAGCCGTGTTGTTTAAACCATTTATTTGTGCCTCAATTTATTTATCTGTGAAGTGGGATAGTAGCACTTATCATACTATTGATGTGAGGATAAACATCAACATTAATTTAGTTCCAGGTCCTACAGGAGCTGCGGAAGTCAGAGTTAACTGAAGCCAGACACTCTAAATTATATCTACTACCTTAGTCATATTTATATTTCTGATTTCCCCTTTCTGCTCAAAAATCTACGATCTCAGGATTCCCTGGGTCCTTGAACAGCAAGAGATGTCTCGAAGGCTAAACTCGTGTTAGCAAAGGAAGGCTCGCACGGGTGAAGTTATGATCACAAACACAAGACCCGTGGCTGAACTGTGGCAGGTGCTTGAGAATGACCTCAGCCCCAGAAATCAGGTCTTGAACCTAGATGACGTGACCTAGTATTAGGGCATACAAGGCTTAAGACCAGCTGCTAAGTTAATAAGGCAATAACAAGCAGGCCCCAGAGGGTAGACTCTGTGGCTTATCCAGAAGCCAGCCAACATGAGGCAAGAGCAAGCTGTCTTGGCAGTCATCTACCATGGGTTAGACAAGTGCCTCTTTGTTATACGCCTATACTCTGGCCTAGCTAACAATGCTTAGGCGTTGTCCAAAACTGGGTCGGTTTTAAGGGAAAAAAAAGTACTCCTCAATCTCAATTCCAAAGGCAAGTTACTGCCTTTAGAATGACTGCCATAAACTTTCCATCACTCATCCTGGGCATTCCTTGACGGGAATGAGGATTCAGCAAAGGAAACAGACTCTTATTAATGAGGCTTCAGTGAGAATTGAAGGCTCAAGAACCTCAAAGTAGCCCTCACTTGTTTGAGAACGAATTCCCTAAACCACAACGAAGTTCAGAGGCAGGGAGCTCAAACCAATCCTGAAGTAGCCTTGGGAATTGTTAAGGACAAACATGGGAGGCTCCACTTGCTCTGGCACCGGAGAAAACACAACCAGGCTGAATGGTTTCACTAACTCACCACCACACGGCTCCCTTCTGTGATCTATTTGCTCTCCTCTAGCTTACATTTCTATTTTACACGTTTTCCTCTTTCCCCAAACCCCTATCACCAACAATCCCTGCTTCACTCAGCCAATATTCTTGTGTTCAACTGAGGGAACAAGTCGGCAGAAGACAATGACCCCACATTTCTACCACAAACCACCAGCTTCCACCTCCAAATCTACAACTGACCTGCACCTGTGTCCCCATTCCTGCTGCCTGCCCTGCTGTCACAGGAGATGAACTGCCTTTTCCCCACCCCCCAACCAATATAAATATTGGTTATTTATTTATTTTAGAGACAGGGTCTTGCTCTGTCACCCAGGCTGGAGTGCAGTTCAGCTATACAATCAGCTCACCGTAACCCTGAACTCCTGGGCTCAAGGGATGCTCCTGAGTAGCTAGGATTACAAGAGTGTGTCACCAAGCCCAGCGATTTCCCTCCTTTTTAAGGATGAATAATATTCCATTATATGTTGTACCACATTGTGTTCATCCATTCATCTGTCTATGGACATTTGCACTGTTTCCACCTCCTGGCTGCTGTGAATAGTGCTGTTATAAACATGGATGTGCAAATATCTCTTTGATACCCTGCTTTCAATTCTTTTGGATATATACCCGGAGGTGGGATTGCTGGATCATATGCTAGTTCTATTTTTAATTTTTTGAGAGCCTCCGTGCTGTTTTCCATAGCAATTGTACCATTTTACATTCCCACTAACAGTAAACAAGGGTTCCAGTTTTTCCATATACTGGCCAACACTCGTTATTGTTTGTTTATTTTTTTTGGTAGTAGTCAACTTGTGTGAAGTTGGCCCTTTCTTTTGTATCTTCAAATTTTCAGTTTTGGGTTACTCACAGCAGAACACAGTTTTACCTTAATAAAAATAAACAAATAAAAAGTCTTTCCTTAATTCCAAAGTCTCTGCCAGCCACCACCCATTTCTCTGCTCTCTTTTACAACAAAATTCCTTGCAAGACTTGTACATATTCATGACCTACACTTCTCCTGTTCTCTCTTGAAGCTGTCAGGATCTCTAACAATCTCCATGGCACCTCTCTTGACACTGCGAGACGGAGGCTACTAGCAACATTTCCTGATCCAAATGCAATGACCAATGCTCAGTACTCATCTTACCCAACTTCTCTGCAGTATTCGACACAGTCGATCACTTCCTCTTTCTTGAAACACATCTTTCACTTAGTCCCTGGGACACCACTCTCTTGGTTCTATTTCAATGCTCACTTCTTCCCAGCCTTTTTTGCGGATTCCTTCTCATCTCCTTGATTTTTAAAGTGTGGAGTTCCCCAAGATGTGGTCCTCAGTCTTCTCTCTTCCACCTATGTTTGCTTCTCCTACCATAACCTCATGTAGGTTTTGGCTTTAAAAACCATCTATGTGCTGACAACCCTTAAGTTTGGATCTCCACCATCAACGTCTCCCAAACTGAAAGATTTGAAAAGCAACTACTTACTCAACATCTTCACTTGGATCTCAAACTTAATGTGCCCCAAACTGCACTGCACTCCCTTCAGAACCTGCTTGTCCTATGGGCTTTCCCATCCAGTGACAGCAACTCCACAGCACCAGGCTTGACATCAGCCTGGACATAATCCTTGACTACTCTCTGCCTTTTGCCAACACAGCAGCTCTACTCTTGCTCCCACACAGTTTTTCTCTATGTAGCAGATAATCTAGTCCTTTTCTAATGAAAGTTTGCTCATGTTTCTGTGTAGCTTCCTATCTTACTCAGAATAAAATCGAAAGTCCTCACTGTGGCCTACAAGCTCTATGTGATTTGACCCTCTCTGTTTCTTTGACCTTATCTTCTACTACTACTCTCCCACATGTTCACTCCATTCCAGACAACTGGCCTCCCTGCTGTTTCCGGAACATGCTATGTACACCCTCATCTTAGAAACCTTTCTACCTGTTCTTCCCTGTGCCCAGAATACTCTTTCCCTAGAAATTTATATAGCTTGCTCTTTCACTTCTTTCAGATCTCTGCTCCAAAATCATCTCATGAGAGGCTTTTTTCAACTTCCCTACATAAAACAGCACTACTCCCCATGCTCGCCAGTCATTCTCTGTCCCTTCTGCCCTTACCACCACCTGACATTTTATGTATTTGTCATAATATACCTTCCCTCACAGACTGTAAGATCAACAAGAGCAGGATCTTTGCTTTATTCATTGCTATATTCTAAGTACTTAAAATAGTACCTAAAATAGTAGGTACTCAAACATTTGTTGAATGAATGAAAAGGACTGAAGAAGCAACAACCTCCTCAGGGTCGGGGGTTACTTTTCCTGAGTGCTAGGAAGATTCAATCCTGGGATACAGCCTGGTTGTAGCCCTTGATCACCACATACCATCATTTGCTATTGTGACTTACAGAAGGAAATTTCATCCTTCTATTAATTTCTATCACAGAAGGGTTAATTTTTTTCCTACTTGGCTTCATATTTTTTCTAAAAGCAATTTTATAATTAAAAGTTCATAAAGATTTACAATGAAGTCTTTTTTTTGCAGATTTTGCAGATCTGCAACTGCAGATGGTGCAGCCTGTTAAAGAAACACATAGCTACAGCGAAAGATTAGTGGAAAAAAGGCAAGATTACATAGTATAGACGTGTTTCCAGGTATGCCAACTCAATGGAAATTGAACTCTTAGGGAGGAGGAGTGGGAGAAAGAGAGTATCATTTAGACTTACAGGGTAAGAAGGAGGAAGGAAGCAAACAAGAGAAGTTTAATTTTAGTGCTATCAACTGAAGAAAATGCTACAATAAAGGCTCCTAATGATCAAAGACAGGCTGGAACAATTGGTGAGTGAAGATAAGGAAGGCTATCCGTGACTACTCCTGACTGCATATCCCAGGGGTTAGTAAACATTTTCTTAAAGGGCTAGAGACTAAATATTTTAGGCTTGTGGGCCATAAAGGTCTCTGTTCCAACTACTCAACTCTGCTGTTGTAGTGTAAAAGTAGCTAGAGGCAGGAAGTAAATACATGGGTGTGGCCATGTTTCAATTAAAGTTTATTTACAAAATCAGGCAGCAGGCTGCATTTAGCCTGCAGGCTGAAGTGTGCTGATCCCTGCCATAGACAATCATAGCCTTGTGCTCCTAGAAGGACTCTTCCTTCTCTCTCTCTAGAGCCTTTCTTTAAGTCAAGTGATTACAGGGTCAAGACCAGGATGGATAAATATTTTTACAAAGGGCCTATGTACAACTAAGGCATTTTAATTGCTAAGACTGTCCCAGAAAAAATATGCCAGAATCCAAGCAAAGGAGTTTGAGCAAGGGGATAGTAGAGGAAGAAACGACTGCATTAGAACAAGGTAGAAGTTCTGTGTCCTCATGGAAAGAAGGCACGGGATACACAAACAGTTATGTATCTACTAGAAAGGTGGACAATAAAAGGAGGAGCTAACAAAGAGATAAAAACCATCTGATTGTGAATAATCTCTACAAACACAAAGGCTATTCAGACAAAGAACTGTCCTTTATGCGTTAAAAGACAGCTTCCTTCAAACTTTTTTGATCGCAACTCATGGTAAGAAATATTTTACATCATCATCCAGTAAAAACAAAATTCCGTTACTGCAAGCAATGCACTTTCATATGTTCTTTTCTAGACTATTAAACAATGGTGGTCATAAGCAATTAAATTGATTTGTAATCTACCACTGGGCTGTGTTGAAAATCACTACCTTGAAAAGGAGGATCTTGGGGAGTCAGAAGATTACTAAGAAAAGATACCTAGAATATTTACGGTCCAAAAGCCTGAAGCATTGTACTGTAATAAAGAAGAAAAGGAAAAGCAGTGCTTCTAGATAGAACATAGCAGTGGCCCAACACTTCTGCTCCAAAAACTAGAAGGAAAAATCAGTTAAACTGCAAATTGGTGAAAGTGCTAACTTAAGACAGACTGTAATAATTCAGGGATGCACACTGAAATGACTAGGGCAACCATAAAAACAAAAATACAAGTATGATAACTAAGTCAATAGAAGAGAAAAAGTTGAATTAAAAAAAGAATGGCTTTTGTTTCTTGGGAACAAAAAGGAAGACCATGGATTTACCAATGCTAGAGGTGAAGACAGTTGTGTTTTCTTCCAAGAGAGGGAAGAATTTGGACTTCTAAGAGAATTTTGACCTAGAGACTAAATATTTCAGATTTAAAAAAAAAAAA